GAGGTCAGCGCGTATAACGACGTGGCGGTTCTTATTGGATACACTGCCGCTGGAGACCACTCGTACTGCGTATAGGGGTGCGTATTTGTACTACTTAGAGTGACGGAGTGGATAAGGTAGTTTTTGGTGGGGTTGTAAATCACCGACTGGGAGTCCCTGCTTGCCCGTCAACTCTGAGCCTTCTGAAGGGTGGCTGAGTTGGGCGAGCGGCAATGCGTGTTATTGAGCTTCATTAACATTTTCATGTCCCTCCTGAAGCATATGAATTGGATTACGGAGTTGCCCCCTCTTTGAAATTTCCATCCGACTAGACTGACTGTGCTTGCTACCTTGCATCGTACTACGGCATGCGGCATGTAGTACAGGAGAAACGAGATCAGACTACGTTTTTGGTTTGGTTGTTCCGCATGTTCTTCTTTGTTGGGGCCTTGGGATGTGATACGGGGTACTTCTGGATGAACAACTTAACGAGTCTATGTCGTGCTTTCATGTTTCCCGACTATACCCAAGGTAGCTGTTCAACAGGTCATGATTGTTTGTGTGTCCACACTTGGAGGCTGTTTCTTTCAAGCCGTTTGCGGGAAAACGATTCGACCGGTTCAATGATTTTTGATCCACACAGTTCACTTCCCCAGAGTCCACGACCGACATCCGCGGGCCGGCATCGTGAGCCGTGGGACCCGGTCGAGGTGAGGTTGTCGGGGGTGGAAGCGTTCCTCGAGTCGGCCGGTAGACGGTGTCTTGCAAAGGTAAGTCTGTCCGTGATTGCGTTGGAAAGAAAAGTCAATTGGCCCCCAAACTTGCCCCCCACACGTGAAAAACGACACGGTCAAGAGCTAGGCTTCCACTCCCCATACAGCAATCTTGCCTCGTATCTTTTGGTCAGCAAGACGCAGAATCTCACTGTGGTAATGAAGACAAGTCCAATGAGACGATTAGGCACTCGGTGAACCCTCGGCCGGCAACCACACCGATTGACAAGAAAACTTCTCCAAATCTCGCGGGGGGGTCTAGTGGGTTTCTCTGCCTCCCGTTGCCCCTCCTTTGGTGCCATTTGCCCCGCAAAGTGACATTTCGGCGTCGATTGCGTGCTCTGGCCAAGCCCCACCCCCATTGCCTAAATCGGCGCTCTCTTCGCACCTCAAAGCTCCAAGAGCTCTCACTTCACCAGCGCCTCACCTCGCATGAGCGACGAGAGAGCCAGCCGTTGCTGCAGCATCGTAAAAAGATGAGAAATGTGACAAGCTCTCATTTGTCGACGGAACCAAACTATTGGACGTTTCCCTCGGATCCAATTGGCTATAATTCAAGCTCCCTGGTAGCTGACCGCGGGATTTGGAGGGGTCCCCTCCTCCATCGGGAAACGATACCTTTGAGAAGTTGCTTCCTTGAGATAGCTACCTTACCTGGTAGACAACTTTTTCTCTTCGGTCCCTGGTGACCCTCCTTACAAGGCCAAGAGGTCGATTGCATATACATACACTCATACAACAGTCTGACCTATGGTGTGATGTCCCCTCAATGGCATCATCGTAGCTAGCCCATTTTCTCTGCCTCACTCTTCCCATTGCTGGACAACGACCCCTACTTACCCCCCTCCCCCTCCCCTCTTCCGTGCTCTTCGTTTGCCGTTGCGTACTCCGTTGCCGGCCCGTCTCTTTTGTGTGTGTGTCTCTCTCTCTTAAGCGCGTCACCGTCCCCGTTGCTCTTGTGCTCGCACACCTTTAGAGAAAACCTGCCTCCTTCCCCTCCTCATCTCTTCTCCGTGTCTCCAATTCCTCCCTCTTTCTGTATACACATTATTTGCTAAAGAATAAAGTTAAACTTGAACAATGGCTGAAGAATTGAGCAAGAACTTTGAGACTCTCCAGCTCCATGCGGGGTACGTATGCTCTCTTTCATGAACACTGCCCGCCACCACCACACCGAGCAAACATGCCTTCGGGGGAGGAAAACAACCTTCCCGTTGCTTTTGGAGCTGTTCGAGACCTGATAACAAGCTGACGTGTGGGGATTGCCGTGTCTCTGTAGCCAGGAACCCGATCCAACCACAAACTCGCGCGCCGTCCCAATCTACGCGACCACGGTTCGTAAAACCTTCCCGACGACGACGAGCAACCAAGCTCTCTTCTCTCGCGAGCGCGGGCGCAAACATCGCAGTGCTGACAGCTGATCTCGATATGTGTAGAGTTTCACCTTCAATGACTCAGCTCACGGCGCGAGGCTCTTTGGCCTCAAGGAGTTTGGCAACATTTACAGCCGCATCATGAACGTACGTCAAAGTCACACTTTCCTCGACAACCTCATGTTATATAGCGTACCAAGCTTGAAAACTGACCGTGCCCTCCTTCCCGCTCCTCCAGCCCACCGTCGACGTCTTTGAGAAGCGCATCGCCGCGCTCGAAGGCGGTGTCGCGGCCCTGGCCACATCCTCTGGCCAAGCCGCCCAGTTCATCGCCATCAACGCCCTCGCGCACGCCGGCGACAACATCGTCTCCACCTCGCTGCTGTACGGCGGCACATACAACCAGTTCAAGGTCTTCCTCCCCCGCCTCGGCATCCACACAAAGTTTGTCGACGGCGACCGCGTCGAGGACATCGCCGCCGCCATTGACGACAAGACCAAGGCCGTCTACGTCGAGAGCATTGGAAACCCAAAGTACAACGTCCCGGACCTCGAGGCTATTGCCAAGGTTGCGCACGAGAAGGGCGTCCCCGTCATTGTAAGCCCCCCCCCCCCTTCCGTCTCCATCGCAAGCTGCACAAACATCAGACGGCAAGCTAACACCGGAAACCCACAGGTCGACAACACCTTTGGCGCAGGCGGCTACTTCATCCGCCCCATCGACCACGGCGCCGACATCGTAGTCCACTCGGCGACGAAGTGGATCGGCGGCCACGGCACCACCATCGGCGGCGTCATCGTCGACAGCGGCAAGTTCAAGTGGGACAACGGCCGCTTCCCGCAAATGACGGAGCCCTCGGACGGCTACCACGGCCTCAAGTTCTGGGAGACGTTCGGCCCCATCACCTTCATCATCCGCGCCCGCGTCGAGATCCTCCGCGACCTCGGCGCCTCCCTGAACCCCTTTGCCGCCCAGCAGCTCATTATCGGCATCGAGACCCTGTCGCTGCGCGCCGAGCGCCACGCGCAAAACGCACTCGCGCTCGCCAAGTGGCTCGAGGCTAGTGACTACGTGAGCTGGGTGTCGTACCCCGGTCTCGAGAGCCACCCGTACCACGAGACGGCCAAGAAGTACCTCAAGCGCGGGTTTGGTGGTGTTCTTAGCTTTGGTGTCAAGGGCGGTGGTGATGCTGGTAGCCAGGTTGTCGATGGCTTCAAGCTCATTTCCAACCTCGCCAACGTCGGTGACTCCAAGACCTTGGCTATTCAGTGAGTTTGCGACCCTTCTATCACGGCGTGAGAGAGCACTTGTTCTCTCTTCCTCTTCCCCAAAATAGTCCTACCCGCTAACCAAGGCCAAAAAGCCCCTGGACCACCACCCACGAGCAGCTCTCCGACGAGGAGAAGACGAGCTCCGGCGTCAGCGAGGACCTCATTCGTATCTCGGTCGGCACGGAGCACATTGACGACATTATCGCCGACTTTGAGCAGTCCTTCAAGAATGCCTCCTCCGCGTCCACCACGGGCAAGCCCGCCCCCGCGGCCGAGACCAAGCAGGACGACGCACCGCTTGCGCCGTAGGTCGGTGACAAGACATGCGCGCGCCTGAAATGATTGATTTCTGTTTTTTGCCTTGTTTTTTTCTGCCAAATGTACGAGAACGATAAAATACCCGTAGAAAAAGCAACTTACGATTCTTGTCTTACCTGGTCGCCCTGTCTTGATCAATACGTGGCTTTGTTTTGCATGGAGAGAAAAGAGAAAGCCGAAGAAGCGCCATCATGCTTGACACACCCCCTTGATCGTTCCTCGTGCAACATGATCAGAAACACTCGCAAAGTTTTGACCCAGCCAAGTCAGCGTTGCCCAGGCCTGGATTCCCGCGTCCGACGACGTCCGCTGTAGATGTGATGAGCAAGGGACGAGTGGCGCACATCACACATCTGCCGTGCTAGTCCATGCCCGACCCAAACCATGGAAGATACCTACCCAGGCACACCAGGTGCCGAAGATCAGAAGGAAAATGGATGCGCGTGAAAAAGTGAACCCCTCCTGATCCCTGGTGTCCATCCTCCGATAAGAAAGTTGTGTGATCAGCCCGGCCTAGCTTCCCCCCCGTGGCAACTCGCAAAGCACGCAACGAAATGAAACGTGCCGACGCCACAAATTCCTAGTGGGCGGCGCGACGGCATTTTTAGTCTTCACCTTTCTTGTGTGGATATGCGAAAACACATGTTGCCGTTGCAATGCGATGGAGACCCAGCGATTTGGGCGGCAGATATTCGTGGGGGTTGATAGATACAGGAGCTGAGATGGAGTCACGAGGTTGACGGGCTGACAACTGTTCTGGGTATATACAACCCTACGAACAAACCCTCAGAATCGCGGGGACGAAGAAACGTGCGGGATCCCGACAAGGTCTGTGGTTGTAATCCGACCCGGCCAAAAGCCGGCGCCGGTGCGAATAAGTAGGTAGCTCCCAACTGGAATGGGCGGGGGGGGGGGGGATGTTCATCGTCTCCACAACCCCCCGGGGCGCGGTAGACGACCACCGGTTTACTCCGCCAACGGACTCTGATTGGCCGAGAGAGGTTCGCTCCATTCAACGACGCCTCTTGTCTTGCTCTCTCTCTCTCTGTGTGTCCCATCCCCATCCAAGCTCCAAATCCCACGGCCCGCCGATTTTAGCTATATTCCTCGACATCCCACCTCGAAGAACATCACGGAAATCCTCCCCCGCCCTCTCGACAAAGTCTCCATCCGTCTCCCTTTTGTTACCCCGTCTCTTCTTGCTTGTCGTTCTTACTTCCGAATACCCTCCCTCGCCCAAGAACCACCCAACGAATATTCTCGGTCGACACCGCCCCATCTCGCAATGCGCCTCCTCGCAACCCTCGCCCTCGCGGCGACATCAGCATCCGCCGCCTCCCTGACCCTCTCGATCCCCTCCTCCCAAGCCCTCCCGAACCCCTACACCCTCCCGCCGTCGACCCACGCGACGCTCTCCTCCCTCGGCGCCACCTTCTCCGCGCCCCTCTCCGTAAAAAACACGTTCGTCTTCCACAACCTCACCGGCGGCGGCGGCAGCGCGGGCTCCTCCTACCTCGTCGACATCCACTGCGCGACCCACGCCTTCGCGCCCCTGAGACTCGATGTCGATGCCGAGGGCGGGTTGGCGGCGTGGGAGACGTACCGCGGTAACGATTGGGATAACAAGGGCGAGGCGTACGCGGCCAAGGAGTTCGAGGGCGGCGCGAAGGGGTTTGAGGTCAGGGTGTTGGGGCAGAAGAATTATTTTGTGGAGAGGAGCAAGTGTGAGTGTTTTCTCGTCCCGTCTTTTTTTTTTCCTTCGTCCCTATGACCTCCTATATGAATTTAATAGTGTCGGGTTTGTTTGGTGTCTACGGCGAGGAAGCCGAGCTCCCAGAGCTGTCGGCACTTTTCACGACGCGCACCTCTTTCCCGAGATACCGAAACGATCGGGGAGCACAGAAAAACGCTGACAACCCAAACCTCGCAGTCTCCATCCTCACCATCCTCAAGAACCCCATGATCCTCCTCGGCCTCATCAGCATGGGCATCTTCCTCGGCATGCCCTACCTCATGGACAACAGTACGTTCAAAAACCCGAAACCTCTTCCCCCCGTTCCTCGACGGAAAGTCATTCCTAACACGAACCGTTTTGTAGTGGACCCCGAAATGCGCGCCGAGTTCGAAGAACGCCAAAAGAGCAACCCGATGAACTCCCTCCTCGGCGGCGGCGGCGGGGGCGGCGACGCGAACCCCATGGCCAACTTTGACATGGCGGGCTTCCTCGCCGGCACCGGCAGCAGCAGCAAGAAGGAAGAGTCTTCCGGTTCTGGTGCCTCGAGTGTTGGGGCTGGTGGGAAGAAGGAGAAGGGCGTGCGGAGGTAAGAGAGAGAGAGAGTGTCGTGGAAGAGGGAAACAATGCGGGGAGGTAGAGTACAATTACACGGTTGTTCAAGATTGTTATTACGGCCCCTATAAGACATGGGGTACAGCCTACGGCGCTTCTTAGACCTCGATTCCCTATAAATTACGTTTTACGAGCTTTGGTGAAGTAAGGATATCGGAAGCCCGTACTACCATTCACACTTTCTTGCGTGTCATTGGGCTGGTGATCATACCTTACCTCGGGCAGCCCAGGTATACGTGAAACCGTCCGCAACACCGGTTCTCGTCACCAGCACAGTAGGCGCCCGTTTATGTGGGCGGGTCAGGTCAGACTACGACGGTGGAGTGGTTGAAGCAACGTATACGCCAAGGAAGTCGAGGTGGCGCCGGCCGAGAGGCGCGAGTTGAGTGGTCCGTATCCGACATTGCCTACTTATTTTCGTGTTTCTGTTCTGTTACTGATAGTAGTATCAAGATTGGATCTGCAATGCTACAAAGATATATTCGTCGTCACACAGGCTGATGCATCATAGCGTTCGTCTGAAAAGGCAAAGAGACATGATGTTCAAATGCAACAGGGGCTCTTTTTACTCATGAGAAGAACGCATATTAGACGCAGCGATGCCCCCCTGAAACCCGCCCTAGTCCACCCCTTTACCTGCCAACCATTCTCTCATGATCCATTTAGTAAGGTACGTTAAAATAAGCTGGCCGTAACCCAGTATCAGTCACTTAGAAGTCACCTCCAAAGTCGTCACCACCGCCGAAATCATCATTGTCCTGTCCGTCGTCTGTACCAAAGTTAGCAATTATTCAAATATCAAGCCATAGACTCGAAGGGTGCAACTTACTGTATCCATCAGCGTACGCCTCCTGCTGCTCATCATTGATGTGATCCGCAATCAGGGCACCACCAAGCAGACCGGCACCGGCACCGAGCGCAAGACCGCCCGCCATGCCCATGCCGCCGCCGCCGGCTTTCCGACCGCCGCCCATTCCACCCATTCCACCCATGCCCCGGCCGTAGCCCTGCTGCTGAGGGTATCCTCCGTAACCCTGCTGAGGCGGATAGCCGCCATATTGCTGCTGAGGGGGGTAACCGCCATACTGCTGCTGCTGGGGCGGGTAGCCGCCGTATCCTTGCTGCTGGGGGTACCCTCCGTACTGCGGCTGGGCGTGGCTCGAGCTGCCCATGCCGCCTGTCTTGGCCTTGCCCAGCAGCTTGCCCAAGAAGCCGCCGGAGCTCTTTCCCCTTGTCTCTTGCGCGCGGGGCGGGAGCTGGTCGGGGAACGGCGACTGCGACTGCTGGTGTTGCTGCTGCTGGAGGTTGTAGCCCGGCGGCATAGGGGAGTGGCTGCCGCCGCCGCCGCCGCTACGAGCGCGAGCTTCCTCCTCGGCCTGGAGCTGGCGGGCTAGGCGCTCGTCCTCGGACATTGTGTTGGAGCCGCCTGCGCCGGGCGGCTGCGGGGTCGAGGACTGGTTCTCGTAGGGGTTGCCCTTTTGGTCGTAGGGGTTGTGCTTTTGGTCGACCGGCGGCGTCGGGTGATCGCCGGGGCGCGGGGCGTAACCCGGAGGAGGGCCGCCCGGGTGCCCGTCTTCTGCTGGTGGGGGAGGGGGAGGGAGGGCAGGCTCTGTCGGCTTATCCCATTGAGATTGTTTGGTGTGAAGATTTACGTAGAACCTGGGGTTGCGTTTGTTAGCGTCGGCGAGCATAATGAAAGAGAGACAGATAGTTATTGAGGTAGTGATGTCTGGGCTTACCATTCTTTGTACTGGTCGTTCCATCTAGCGATCCAGCCGGGAGGAACCTCGGGGGCCTTGGGAGGCGGGGGACCCGACGGGGGAGCGAAATCGTCGGCCATGTGTAGTATAGTAAAGTCAGGCGCAGAAGTGGTAATGCTGCTCAGATGCGATTAGAACTTCTCGGTGGTGCGAGACCTTTCAATCGGTCGATGGGGTTCAGGGTAGATTGTTTGGTGTAGGTGAATGAGTTGTGGGTGTGTATGTCTGTGTGAATGGACAAACAAAGTTTCTTAGTCTCGACAGCTACTTCAGATAACTCGAGAAATCTTTGTAGAGGGAAAAAGGTACCAATATTCGAGGTTGGGATGAGATGGGATTTTGGGGGAAGGGAAGAGGGAAAGTATTGCCTCCTACCTCTTACCGCGGGGTGTCAGGTGTTGTAATGGGGAGGCGCAATAGGTCGATTGGAGCTGGGCGCGGAGGGCCGGGATTACGTCTTTCAGTTTTGGAACGGTTCCCTTCCCCCCTCCTCTAGCTAAACGGAGGAAACCTAGACCGCGTACCCAATAACACCCCGACGTTTCCGCTGCTCCCGCCTTCCAGAGGCATCTTGGCGGATACTTAGTGGAATAAGGAAGTAATTCACCGAGGCTTCGTGTCTTCACTCACTGAACCTGGCACCTTCTCGAACGGTACGGCGAGCATGGGGATCACAGTCGCTGCTGTCCGTCGTGTCGATGACATGATGTGCTGCGCTAGACAATTACCTACGTAAGGCAAAGTCAGATCGCAGCCGGGCTCTAGTCCCCTTCGATCCCGTTTCTCGAAGCTGCTCTCACTGCCATTGTGTGCCTATCTCGCCTCTTCCAGTCCAGTCCAGTCCAGAGTCCAGTCCCATCCTGCGGGTTCCATCTTGGCTATGCTGCAACAGCATGATGCGAGCTGCTGCGAGCTGCAAAGCACAGCCCCTCCCTCTCCGCTGATGCTTGTCCAGCGGATTTACCTAGGTGCCCCTCACGCCGCCGCCCCTCCCCTGTGGCCCCCCCCCCCCCCCGCCCTCTCATACCTCTCTGCCAGTGGCCACTCTGCCTGCCTGTTCGCTTTCCCACTGCGACCCGGGATGCCGGAGAGCCGATGCACAAGGCAACGTATCTGACAAGTCCCTCTGCAGCGTAAAACAAGCTTTCTTATACCCCGACGGTACCCCTCCCCGTCTGCAGTAAAACCGATTCCCCTCCAAAAAAGCCACCTCAGGTCCAACTGGAAACGTCTCGCACAAGGCCCGTCAATGATGGAGCCCCAAGGTACCGAGGAGTTTGACCCTTCGCTCCAGTGTTCTCATACCTTGTTAATAAGGTACTTTCTTTGAATCTGTGAATGGATGGCAAAGAAGTAATTAGTGACGACGCACAAAAACTGTGGCTGGTGACGCTTTTGCGTAGTTTAACTCGTCATATGGCAAAGTGACTCTTCTGCCTGCTTGACAATCGAATAGACGGAATCATCAGGTGAGGTCCAGGTGACTGAGCCCATCTCTTCCCCCGTGTGGCGGTGCCCTCCAATACCTAATCATCAACTTCAACCCTCGGGTCGTGATGCTCACACATACCAAAGAGCAAAAGTGAGAGGGCCAACAACCAAGCCCCCTGCGCCAATGCTAGCCCATTTCCCCCATCCCGCTCCGTTTCCAAGAGAACCACTTCTCCCGGGCGAAGGCGTTGACCTTTGGGGATTGCGAAGACACCTGTGGCGCAGCATATCTCAGGTTCTTGGCATTGTCACTTCCAACTTCATGGCCCCAATTCAGCAACTCACACAGACGTACAAATCCACAAAGGCCGGCCATCAGGTTCATCACCATATAACGAGGAAGAGGTGCCACCAAGAAAAGCAAGGTTCCATCGAAAAAAGAGCCCTACCCTCAGGCGTCTATCCCATCTAGACACATAAGCACGCTAGCGCAGGCAAAACTCCTGGTTCCTCTCAAGTATACAATTTCTCCAAGTGCTGTAACAAGCAAAAACAATAACTACCGGTATCGTGAGTAAGACCTGCCTCATGGCAGGCCTCTCTCGTCCCGTCTCCTCTCTCCAAAGAGGTAGGCCGCCTCCATGCAGTAGGCGCCACCTCCGCTGGCCATCCGCCGCTCGCTGCCGTAGCAGATGACGACCGCATCCAGAATGCCACTGAGAATACCTTCCATGGCGCCCATGACCGAAAATCCAATAAAACTGGCTACTATGCCAACCACGTATGCGTACGCCGAGCCCCGTACTCCCATTCCGTCCGGCAGAGCGATAGAGAGCTGCTTCGCCGTCATTACCCATCCTGCAAAACCGAGCCCCGTTGCCATGATGAACCGTGTCGCATATAGAAGCATCTTTGCGAGCCGATAAGGAAGTAAAGGGGAGTGACTGGATCGCCGTGTGCTGAACACATGCGGCGTCAGGGTTGTCGTAGGGCGTTGTGGGGATAAGAAGTCCATCTGGCTGAGGCCGCGAGCCGCCGTGTGGAGGTTCTGGGAGTGAATCGCTCCGTAGGTTATGGTGAGAGGGTTCGTGAGCGCTGCGATGGGCGTCGGAATCCACATGGCAGCAATGTGCTGCAGGATATTAGCCAACCTGCGTGGCAGTACGAGCAGCGGCGCCCGGATAAGCAGCGCAATCAACGTCGACTCGCAGATGCTGCCAAATATGGTCGTCGTCGCGTGGTTAAGCGCGGCCGTGACAATCTCCGCCGACGTCGGGGCCGGCGCCGCGTTGCGGTGAAAGTACCATTGGGATACTGTCGCTGCTGTAGTCGCCCGTTGCACCGCATTGATGACTCCAATCGTCCACATGTACATCAACACGAACCAGATACCCAGCCACCAGCTGGACACGCTGATGATGAACCTGGCAAGTCTTCTGGAGAAGTATCCTCCCAAGAAAATTCTCGAGAACATCCACATCCAGACCCAGGTCCACGTCACTATGATTGCGAGACAGCTGAAACCCAAGATGAGGAGTGCAGTGTTTGCTGCAAGAATTCTCGTGGAGAACTCCAATATCTCAATCGCCTGACGAATGGCGTTGCGGCCCTGCCAAGCCATGTACACCCAGACACAGGCTGCGATGCCAGGGACAAGCGCAGCCCATCGCATCGCTCGATCTTGGAAGCTGGCCCCATGTGATCTGCCTTCATAGCTAGAAATAAAGGGGTATAGTGTGAATGAAAACATGATGATGGGTACTGCAACGAGAATCACCATTGCCACCGGCCTGGCAAAGGATCGAAGCGCCGCGAGCCACACAAAGGATACCAGGATTGAAATGAGAGTATCCACAGCGAGCATGTGAAAGGATGCTTGTAATGTTGTATAGACGGTGTCACCCCATCCTTTCTTGGGCGTGCCTGTGTGTAGCCAGACAAGCACAAATGTAGACACCAGACCGGCAAGCGCAATAAGGAAGATCCAGGCAAAGAACGGGTCATACTTGAAGAGTTCTCCTTCGATCAGGGGGACAGTGGCAGGCAGGGCCTCATCGTCGGAGCTGGCTCGGCGGGCCTCGTCAAAGTCATCTTCTCGAGTAGCTTCCCTCCTCAGTGGGAACTTGCGGTCTCCGGACTTGGATTGAAACTTCTGGAAGGCGGGTGGGCTCGAGTCCGTGGCCGCCTCGTTCAGCAGCGACGCAGATGGGTCGTCGTCGTCCATGATCTGGGAATCTAGCCCAATGTCGACCATTTTAGGATTCGTATCTGACTCCCGGTCAGAAGTTTCTCGCGGGACATCCTCCGACTCTTCGTCTATGACATCCCTCCCACGATTCCGTCCACTGAAGCTCCTCGTACCGTTCCAACTGCTGCGAATACCTCTCCGCAGCCCGCGATCCTGGTATCTTCGGCCCGGTGTTTCGCTGCTCTGTTCCAACGAGCCGCGGCTAGCGTCTGGTTCCGTCTCGGAGCTCTCTGCCATCTTGCTCGCGGCGGCCACGCGCCGAGACATGTGGAGAGCGGCCATATCCGCAGCCTCGCGATCCCTCTCGTCTTCTTCGTCCTCCTCCATGTACTCATCGAGCGTGCTGTGGAATAGCGGTGCATCCTGGGCGGCGGACATGCGGGAGGCAAAGCCCATTTGACCATAACGCGAACCGCCCGTCTGGTAGGGGTTTCCTCCGTAGCCTCTACCTAGGAAGGAGCGCCCGCCATTTCGAGGAGGGCCCCGCGATGACCAGTCGTTCGGTTGCCGTGGTGGGTTCTCGTTGCCTTGATCTTGGCCCGCAAAGTTGGACAGTCGGGACTGTGATTGCGCCAGAAACCTGGACGCATCTGGGGGCGAGTCAGTTAGTTGACCGCCATCGCTAGGCGTCGCCGAGGATGGTTCAGCAGCGGTGTATGAGACTTACATTCCGAGAACATGGTGCTACCGATAGCGAGGACCTTGTCCCCTCAGAAGAAGTTTGCGTTCTCTTGGGAGGTGGCAGAACAGGAACGCGGGACGTCGGGGCAAATAAGTGTCGGGCTGGCGAAGGTCCTATGAATGATGATGCCGGACAAAGAGCGAACGGCTGGAATGTTTGGGTGCCGGCGGCGGCGGTGGACACTAATGGTATACGCAAACAGAACGTTGGAAAGAGACGGGTCGACGGCAGTTCCTGCGGATGGCCTATTCTTGGACCGGAGAGAATGCCACCTTTGAGATAAGGTAAGGACAATAATTCTGATCAAGCCCGGAGAGCTCGTGAGAAGGGCATCTGCACCTGGTTCTGGGAAGAGATATGAATCAAAGGTCATGCGGTACGGACGAAGAGGTGAAAGGTGCCTAGGCCGGTGAGTGACTGATGGAAGTGGACCGGGCCAGTGAGGGAACTAGGTGGGAAAGTACATGGATGGCCGGGGTTGCCTTCTGGGATGCCCGTGGAAATCCCACCACCCAAGGTACCTACCTTAGGTAACCCAAGGCTTTACCCGCCTGTTGCTGTTAGGCAGCGCGGACGCTGATGCAGCCTAAGCAGTGGCACACAGATGGCACACGACACCTGCGACACCGCCCACACGACAATGACAAGGCACCTTTTACTTGTGAACCCTTCCTGCCGGGTACCTACCTCACTAACAATCCAGCCACTCACAACGTCGATACCTGGGGAGGCAGGCAAAGCAGGGGAACGTGGGAGCCACCCACGGGCTGCGGCCGGCACTCATCGGACTTATCGTGGTGGTCGATAAGGCGGTAAGTTGGCGGATGCATTGCAGCATTGCAGCATTGAGGGCCCGGATTGCCTGAGATGGCATGGCTGCGGGTTGGCGGGCTCCTCCCAGTTCCATGTTCGCCTTGATCTAGGAACTCCGAGAAGCGCATAGGTATCCGTACTCCATACAGCATGAACCCAAGGGAAAACCTACATGAGCTAGAGCACGTCTTTCAACTTGTTGCACCTTGTTTTTTTTTTCTAATGCAGTCATTTGGCATCTGCTTCTGATACCCAGTGGAGCGAGTACTTCAGGCATTGCGGTTCTTCTGCCCGCCGTCTTCCATTCTTTTCCTACCTCATGTGTATTGTGAGATTCCAAAGACTCTTAACTGCTGCTTCCTGCATGGCACTGACATGTCCTGGCGCAAGACCAGCAACTAAGAAGGCACTTGGCCCGAATGAACTCCAGTCCCGAGTCATGCAGTCCTGAGTAAGTCTGTCATTTCCCCAATTATCGTCAACTGACAATCACCACAGCTGGTCGCTGTTATTTGTTGCTGATGCTGCTGCTGCTACCTTACCTAAGGTACCTAGGTATTGGTACTCTACGAGTCTGCGCAAACAAGCGGCTCGCCTTATCGCTAAGCACTTGCGTCACTGATAACACCATGCCAAATCCCTGCCGCCCTTTCCCTGGTCATCAGTCCTGTTTAAACTGGGGCTCTGTCGTCTTCTCAGGTCTAGCCTGTGACAGGGGGAGGGGACGCCATCTTAAACACTGACCAGCGTGATGCAACTCCCCATTTCTTGCAGAGCAGCACACTTCCATCTCCGATTCCACCTCCCAGAGATCCTTTAGAAAGCAGTTCACACAACCTAAACCGAAGGTCATCTTGCACTTGGATAAGAGAGAGGTCGCCATCAAAGTCATCCCCGAGGTCCAAACATCATTTCTCGGGAACCACGCGGACACCGAACATTGAGAACAGACGACATCCCTTCTCTTGCCAACCGTTTCCCAAACATCCCACTCAATTCGCCCGTCTCCCTCAATCGGAGCCGACGCAACCCCCCCTCCCAGTGCCCAGTGTCCACCCCTTGTCAGACGTGAACTTCTGAACACGTGCTCCGATAACCGACAGCTGTGTGAAGCTTTCCAACATCAGACCAACCGACAACCACCAACAACACCACCACTGCATTGCTAAACCACAACCATACACGGTCCCCTTCCATTCCACCTCTTCGAAACCATCCGTCACTAGCAGAAACGGTCTCGCGGGCTAGCCGAGAGAGACAATCGAAAAAAGAAGAAGGCACAGCTATCTATCTGCCTGGAAGCGAAAAACCACAGACCTCTGCATCGAACCTCGCTCACACGCACATACTTCCTCCTCCTCCTCCTCCCGCCTCACTCGAAGCCACAGACCGCAAAGGCCATGTCGTCTCCACCATGGGACTACATCGCTAAACTCGTCTGCATCGGCGACTCGGGCTGCGGCAAATCCTCCCTCACCATCCGCCTCTGCGAAGGCCGCTTCTCCCCGCACCACGACGTGACAATCGGCGTCGAGTTCGGCTCCCGCATCGTCCCCGTCGGCCCCCCCAACACGCTTCCACCCCCTCCCCCGGCCCCGGAACCAAAGACGAACCCGGACGGCAGCGCATCCTCCGCCGGCCTCCCCGAACCCCCGCGTATTTCGGCCACCGCCGCAGACCAAGGGCCCCAGAAGCACATGAAGCTCTCCCTCTGGGACACCGCCGGCCAGGAAACTTACAAATCCGTCACGCGCTCCTACTTCCGCGGCGCCAGCGGCGCCCTCCTCGTCTTCGACCTCAGCCGCAAACAAACCTTCCAGCACGTGACCGACTGGCTCAACGACCTGCGCCAGATCGCCGAGCCCGACATTGTCGTCATCCTCGTCGGCAACAAGGCCGACCTCACCCAGGGCGAGGACGGGGACGGCAACAACAAGCGCGAGGTGACAAAGGACGAGGCCGAGGAGTGGGCCAGGAGGAACGGCGTCTTCGAGTACGTCGAGACGAGCGCAAAGAGCGGCGAGAACGTCGAAAAGGCGTTTATGCGCGTCGCCGAGAGGATATACAATAACATCCAGGCCGGGAAATACGACCTCAATGATCGGAGGTCTGGCGTCAAGGGGCCGAGTGCGGGGGGCAATAAGCAAGTGAGGATAGGGGGCGACGCCAATAAGGGCTCCGCCGGCGGCTGTTGTTAGATGTGCCGCGAGACGAACCACAAACAAAAGCATACACGAGAAGGATAGTGATACCCAGACGACCATTAGCAGCAGCTTTTTTCTTCTTCCTTCTTTCGCATTCAGCAACCTCCTTTGTACTACTACTTTTTTTGTAATTATAATGTATGGTCAATGGGCTGGTCAACTCACGATGAGAGAAGGAAATAGTAGGAACAAGGAACAGATTTCATATTGCATTATGTACGGAAGTTGTTATCCCGTCAGTTTTGGCTTTCCCCAAAGCTGGAAAGGCCCCCATCTTGCCACTGTTTTTATCGCCCATATCCTTACAGAGAGTGAAAGAGTTGGGTAGAAAAGCCGAGTCGTAAAAAACCTCGGCCGTTCAAGCGCATGATTCCCCGTGGAGGAATCGTTCTAATACAATCTTTGGTTTGACTCTTTGTCAGATTTAGTCAGAGATTCTCCAGCTGTCGAACCACTTCAAGTAGCTGTACTGCTTGTTGTTGCCCGTCATGCCGAAGCAAATGGGGCTGAAGAGGATGTAGAGACCAATGATGGTCGCGTACAGGACGCCGTACACTCCATACTGGAAGACCTGGTTCTTGTTGCGGAGGAACCAATCGGCCAAAAAGCCAAAAGTAAGGATAGCGAAGTACAGCGCAGGGTAGTAGTGGTGAACGTAGGTGACACGGGCCATGACGACGAAGGGGAGGTAGTGAAGGAACCAGCCAGCTACGGGGTACAGGCCGGCGTAGTGGATCTGGTCAATCTCCTTCGAGTTCAGGTCGTTGTAGCCGCGTTGCCAGCGGATCAAGTACCAGACAACGACGAGCCCGAAAACACCCAGGCCGGCGGTAGAGCCCCAGTAGACCAGAGGGTTGCCAAGGAGGAAGTACTTGACAATGTTGTCATCCCAGCCACACATGCGCAGACCAACATTGAGAATGGGCCACTGCCACCATTGCGAGGCCAGGTCGTCTTGCTTATCGGGGTCGGGCACAAGGGCGTTGTTGGAGGTCATCATGGCAACGTTGAGGTGGATGAAGTCGTGGAGGAAGGGGGACTTGTAAGAGCCAGGGTCACCAGGCGGAACTATGCCAGTTAGCAAGCTGAACAAGATAGACAGGATTCATAGCTTTGACTCACGCTTCTCGTTCCAGTGTGCCTCGACGTTCCAGTGGGTGTACGAGTCTCTGGGGTTGTTGGTCTTGGTGCAGGTCACCTCAATCTGCTTGAAACCCCACTGAGGCAGGTTAACGTTACCGGCGCGGAGGTAGCAGCCAAGGACCGGGTGTCTCAAGCGGAATGCCGTCGTCAGAGTGCGGATTCTGCTGCGATCACGGGAGGCGACATCACGAACGACCTCGACAGTCCAGTGGTCCTTGTCGTCACCAATAGTCAAGTTGCCGTAGCTGGAAACTTCCTTATCGGACTTGGTCATAGGAGCAGCGATCTCGTGGGAGTGAAGGTTGCGGCCGGTCTGGGCGTGGATGAGACGGATCGTCTCGCCGTCGCCAATGAATCGGGGAGGGGCTTCGGCGTCGTAGTCCGCGTCCGCACGGTTAGGGTAGAAGAACCAGTCGTTGTTGGCATCCTTGTGGTGGTAGCAGGTGACCTGCTGCTGATTAGAGCCCTCGGGGTATGTCTGGACGTGGGAGTGCAAGAGGCCACCACCGTATCCCATGTTCTTGATGGTCGCGCGCGATCCGTAGGCGATTTCCAAGGGGCTGTTCTTGCCGACCTCGGTGCCCTTCAAGTTTGCCTGGAACAAAGAGCTCATTTGCGCATCACCGGGACCAGTGTGGTCCAGAATGGCAAAGTGGAGGGCGAAAGAGAGCATGTAGACCAGGAACGGGACGATAATGAGGCCAACGACGCGGGTGACAACGTGGGCGCCCAGTGTGGTGACGGGCATCTTGGTGTTGCCGAACTTGGTCCAGAGATCCTCAATGGTGTACAGGCCGACGAGGGAGGTGACGAAGAGACCGACGAGCTTGACACTGCATACGCAGCCAATGCTGAGACCAGTCATGAACAGCCAGAAGAACCACTCGGGCTCGAAAGCATCGTTGCGCTGGTTGTGGAACTTGGCCCAGCAGAGAACAGTCGCAACAGTTCCGAAGAGCAGCATCGAGTCGAGAAGGATGAAGCGGCTGATGGTGGTGTACGAGTTCTCGCAAAGGACCATGAGGGTAACAAGCCAGACAGCGGGACGTCTGAGGTTCAGCTCGCGGGCAGTGTAGTAGGCCATGGGGATGCAGAGAATACCGAAGAGGGCGTTGAAAGCTCTCATGAAGGTGTAGTCGACATCCTCGGGGTATTTTTCTCCAGACTTGAACTCGAAAGATCCGTTGTAGCCAGCGAGAACACCGGAGAGGCCAACGAGCATCTTGCCCAAGGGCGGGTGAACGTCGAAGTAGTATTCATGCTTGATGTAATGAGATCCGAACTTTCCAAAGTGGGCCTCGTCCCAGGTAACGATGTCGCTGATGCCAATCCTCCAGAGTCGGGTGAAGATGGCGACGGCCGTGAAGATAATGGGGGCGATGATGGGCTCCCATTGATCGAGGAAAGAGCTCTGCTGAGGAAAAAGATGAACGTCAGTCCCCAAATAGGTGGACCAAAGCTAGTGATGGTGTAGAGAGGGAGGCGCTTACCTTCTTGACAAGCTGCTTCTTGTCGTCGATTTCAGGGGCAGCCGTTATGGGGACGGACTGGCCCTGGGGGACGGCTCGTCGTCTGACGCCATCGCCCACGTCCGCGCCGGACGCGACAATGGGCTTTTCGGTAGCCATGGCTGTTGGTGAGACCAGTCAGCAAACGGAAAGGCGGCGTATGGAATGGGTTGGACGGGAGTAGAGACTGACTCTCGAAATGGGATGACCGAATGCGTTGATGAAGGCAGGCTTCAAGGGGGTGTGCGCAGGAAGAGTGGAAGTCAAGCTCCAGGAACAGGAGCTCTGAGCTCCTGGTTAGTGATCGGACGAGTCAAGACTCAAAAAAAAAAGCCCGAGAGCAAGAAAATGTGGGAGAATTGAAAAAGGTGAAGAGAAGCCGCGCAAAAAGAGAATCAGCGGGTTTCTCTTGAGGCACAGGTGTTCTGCAAACCAAACCAGCTCATGAAAAAGAAGGTGAGGTCAGTCAGCTGGGGGGAAGAAGAGAGAAAGGGAAAGCTGAGAAAAGTCACCCAGAATTACCAGGGAATCATGCAATTAATATGGAGGTGCCCTTTGGCCAGGTGGGAATTTTTTGGTGAGGTTTGAACTAAATCGGGAGGAGCTGGGAGCTGGGATTCTGGGCAGGAGAGAGCACCCTTCGACCCTTTGGAACCCCCTTGCGGCAACACGAAATAAATGCCACCTATGCACCAACAGACACGGTATCCCTCCCTTTCCACTCCGACCACACTTTACGCGAATCTGGTCCCTAGCAAGCTGGGTTCGATGGCCGTGATCTATTGGCTCAGCTGTCCTCAAGCGGCCTTAAGTGGCCTCAAAGCGGATTTCTTACGCCGCATACCTTACTACGTAGGCAGGCCGCGCAGGTCCTCTCGATGGAATGGCCTGAATGGCCCGGGAAGGACCCCAAATAGCCCCTCTGTTACCCCCTGCCCCCACAGGCTACCTTACCTTACAGCTGCCTACCCCTGAGGTCCGACAGATGGGATCCCCACGCGGCTCTCGCTCTCGACGATCAATGTCAATGTCGATGGAACCTGGAATCCCACTCCTTGCATTCACATTACTACGTACGTCTGCCTATATTCGGTTCCGACATCGTGACATTCAAGACTACGGATACATCATACCTTATTTACACCTTACCTTCCACACGGGATATAGAGCAGCATCATCTTCTTCAGCCTGGCATCCAAAGCATCGGGAGCAATACAGCTTGGACGCGCCTGCAGCCACCTTATGAGGCGTTCAGTTTCTTCCACAATTACTATCCTAGCGCCATAGCAAAGACCAGACGACACGACACTTGTCAACTTTTTTTTTCTGTTCCATGGACAAACACATAGGCTACAGCTACGAAAGATGCAAACCGCTCAATGTTCTGTCTTCATGACAGCTGTGGCTCAGCCGTGGTTTCTGACTGCGCTAACCCTTCCGGGCCGCGCAATAAGCCCCCGCTTTCGGAGCTAACCGGAAATGCCAGTGCGCATCCTCCATTCAATCCCATCGGCCCAGAGAAGGAGACCATCGGCCGCCGTGTGGACTCGATCTCGGCGATTCGGGGAAGTCGACGGTGGTGGAGGCCTGCGCCGTGTAGATTGCCCGCAGATGCGGTGCTTCTCCAGCGAGGTAGAGCAGCCTCCGGAGAGCATAGTTGCACGGGACCAAGGAGTACTCTCACCGGCCGCCACAACCGAACGAGAAAGTGCTTGTTACTTCTTCTGTCCTGTATGACGGAGCGCAAAGCCTTTACTGGCATCAGTCACCTGCTTGCCTACATACTTCTCACCCAAAGAAGTAAAGGCTGGGAAGACCTGATTTGTCGCCGGGAGTCCGCCATCGCCGTGTTTCTTCAGAGAAGGGGGAAAAAGAAAAGGGGGTCACTGCTTCTGCCCACACTCTCTCTCTCCCGGTTCACCTCAGACGCTGGACCAGTCACCAATCTAAGTCACCATCGCCTGGGCGCGGCCCATCTGCCCCGCCGAGTCAAGCCTCTCTCTCGCTCTGCAGCATGCTGAAGCCCGCATGCGGAAACGCCAGACAGCTGCATCACATGTCTTTTTTCGTCCCTACTCTCTCGTCCACTCCGTAGTGTTTCCCCCCTCCTTGGCTGGTCCCGGTCTGATCCATAACACATTGTCGGCACAGACAGACAATCATTGCTAACAATCGCCCCATTGCGGTGCAAATGTACATGTCCAAGAGACTCTCTGACACCTGATCTGGACTCAAATCAAGCCTCAGGTTTCTCTTTCCAAAAGAAAACCCCCACTGCGTCCACCATTCTGGATCTGAACCGTCTCCGCCGACGCCGCCGACGAGAAAGAGCGGATTGCATTAGGGGTCTCGCCCGTCTTATGTCATCGCTCCTGCATCCAATCGTCCGGTCCCGTACCACATCTGCCACCACCGACCACCACCACACTACTACAACCACCACCACCACTCCGACCACCATTACCACCGCTACTTCAAATATCCTTCCCGCGGTGCCCCGACCATCCAATCCTCGCCTCCCCTCCTCTCGATCTTGTCGCCCTGGATGTAGCAGACCTCCCCTGCTGCGCGTTACTTTCTACAAATCCGGCTCGGTCCCCCGACTCACATCTCCGCCGAAACCTCCTACCTCTCAATGTCGTCTCTGGTGTCCGACTTCCTCATCAACCCGGTCCTCCGACAAGCTCGACGCTTTTCAGAGATCTCGAGATCAACCTTTGTCTCCGAACGGGACTCTTCGTCCGACCCTGTCGCCGTCCCGAGCGACGTGAATAGTCCCGCAACTCGGCATGCGATTGTTGCGCCACCCGAATCCACTCCGGCACGATCACTCGACATTGCGACACTACCGCCGACAGTCGACGACGAGCACCCTCAGTCTCCGGCTCCCCTAATTCAGAGCCCCCCATCATACACGATGGCCGCCATGCCACCTACAACACGGGAATCTCTACCCGCCGACGATGGCATGGGTGCGATGCGAAAGCGTCTACTCGACATCCAGTCACAAGATATCGCAGCAGACGACAAGGCCCGGCTTATGCATGAGGCTTTGATGGAGGGTTACCGCAAGTCTCGAGACGCCCCCCGCCAAGGTAACGCGCCGGCAGCCAGCGTGATAGCAGCAGGGGAAGCATGGGAACAGTCAGTCCCGATTGCACCTCTCGAGTCGTTAAAGTTTTGGCAACATGCGATAGGGGAGCCGTCCTCGCCAGAAAAGTTTATCCTGACCGCCGACGATGTTCGGCCCACGTACGCGGCCGCAAAGCTTGCTACAAGAGAAGAACCCGAGGGTGCTGTGATTCTTGGCTGCCAACATTACCGCCGCAATGTCAAGCTGCAGTGCTCGACTTGCGCCAAGTGGTATACTTGTCGTTTTTGCCATGACGCAGTCGAGGATCACACTCTTGTCAGGAAGGAAACCAAGAATATGCTCTGCATGCTTTGCGCCACGCCCCAGAAAGCATCAGACGTTTGCGTGAACTGCGGGGAGACTGCAGCCCGTTACTACTGCAACATGTGCAAACTGTGGGATGACCATCCATCCAACCCCATTTACCATTGTAACGACTGCGGTATTTGCCGACGAGGAAGAGGCATCGGGAAGGACTTCTTCCATTGCAAGGTAATTGAATGATCTGAAGCCAAAGTGTTTCTTGGACGGCCGCTAACATGTGGTTTTAGAAATGTTGCGCATGCATCTCGATATCTATTCAACAGTCACACAAATGTATCGAACGCTCAACGGACTGTGACTGTCCTATTTGCGGAGAGTACATGTTTACATCTCCCAAGCCAGTCGTGTTTATGGGGTGTGGTCACAGCATTCACCAGAAGTGCTACGACGAGCACATGCTGAGATCATACAAATGTCCCATTTGCAACAAGAGTTTGCTCAACATGCAGAGCCAATTCCGCCAATTAGAGCTGGCTATACTTGCCCAGCCAATGCCCCCTGAATTTAGGGACACCCGCGCCACAATCTTGTGTAACGACTGTAGCGGCAAGAGTTCCGTCCCTTACCACTGGCTCGGTCTAAAGTGCGCGATTTGCACTTCTTACAACACGGTAGAAATTCAGATCAGCGGCGGAAGAGAAGAGACGCACGCGACACACGCCAATCACGTGCCCGTCACGCCGGCAGCAGTCACGCCGGCTCTTCTATCTCCTGCGCTTCCAACCCCCGTAACGACACAAGCAGCGGCTGCTCCGGCAGGAATGGACATACCGCAGGTCGGCAGGCGACGACATTCGTCTCATGCTGGTCCCGAGGCACGTCATCTAATGTTGGATCGCTTTGCCAGGTCAGCCTCGCCAGCAGTCACACCTGGTATGCCACCACCAAACGCACCAAATGCTGCCATCGAGGAAGAAGAAGACGAATCAGAGAATGACATTCTCAACTTATGGGGACGGGGTCATGGTGACTCGGACAGCGACACCATGTCGACAGACATGGACGAAGAAGACTCGGAGGGAGAGGACGATGACGATGACGATGATGATGACTATGAGAACGAGATCATGCTCATCGGACATCGGTAACCTCGGCTACGATGCAATCATGATTTAAACGATGAGGTGCATCTGCAAGAGACGGATATAAGATTGGCGCACTGGGTTTTTGCGATGGTCGCATGGTTTGGACATATGGGTCGTTAAGGTCATCGTGGGCATATTACTAGCTGGTTGGGTAAGGGTTAGTCGGCGTTTTAGGATAGCAGAGTTTGTCAGCCTCGGATGGCACTGCTGGGTTCTTTCTCATAGCCCTCGGAAACTGGGCCTTATTTACGTTTCCATAATAGACAAAAACTAAGAATGACAAGCAACGCAAAATGCCTGACCTGAAACGCCTATTGTCCATGAATCCTCATCCTTCTTGCCCTTTGTCATAACTTTCATAGCAGACTCTGCAATCTCGAGACAAACGCTTATTGACGTCTCTGCGATGCAATTTGGGCGTCGACCTCCTGAGATTCCTTTCTAAGCTCCTTCACAACGGTCTATTGCGATAGTCTAGTCAGTGTCATGTCTACTTTGGGCTCGATGGATAAAGCATTATTCTTACGGCAAGAGCTTCTGGGTTCACGCCATTCTCGATCATGGAGATGCAGATCGACAGGGTGCGGCGGTCCAGGTGGCAGTTCTTTGTCACATGGTCACGTTAGCATGGAGTGGGATTTTGAGAGGATGGTAGTAGGTGGGCGTCGCAACTGACGAGGATGGTAGAGATCTCATGCAAGATGTCGACAGCCTGTTGGGCCGCGGCCTGCTTCCCGCTTCGGTCGTCGGCGGGCATTTCCGTATGGTGTTTATTGCTGATTGCGAGATTGTATGAGTGAGATGAAGGTTATTGAATGGACGTCGCTTTGTTTGACGGGAGCGGGGCCAATCAACTTCAGTGACTAACGGCAGCCTGTGAGGTGCTCGAGATGGATGTCTTAGTCGTACGGAGGAGAGAGTCGGCAGGGGCCGAAGTTGCCTATTAGGAAAACGCGTCTGAAGAGTGGCCCCGACGCGCCGGGCGAACTAATGGCAGGGGTTGACTGGGCTAAAGTGGGCAACTACCGGAAATGGGGCCCATCTTTTTTTGTATGAAGCCGCGACTGACCGAACTTTTTCACCTTTCTTAGTCCGTTCAGTCTTCCGTCGCTGTCTCACTCTTTGCTTTATCGTCATGACCTCGAATTTGCTGCAACAGTCAGCTCATGTTTTCTGACAGCTGCGTACCTCATTGTTGTTGTTGTTTCCAAACTACTAGCTAGGCACCCTTCTACGCATGACCACGGATCGTTCATAGCCCGCCAGGCTTTTCCATCTTTCTTCGCATGATGAAGCACACCCCACCGCTCTCTCACGATATGCCCAGTTTCCCACGAATACACTACTTAGACTTACGGGAAACGAACGGGTCTAATGGCTGACGCACGGGAAGAGACAAGCCGCTTATATGGCCCCCCAAAAATCACTATTATTCCTCATGAAGGAATTGAAGATGGACCACCTCGACTGCATATGAGCCGGGTGCCAGGTCAAGGTGAGCGGGTGCATCGGGCCGGATATAGCTTCTCACATTTGCTGACCTTCCGATAGCCCAAGCTCTTCGTATCATACAGGCTCCTGAGACCCTTTACCCTGCCTCTCGCTCAACGGAGCTGGCGCCTTCTTCAACACTTTGGGATTCCCAGCGAGTGCAAAGACGATGGCTCTTCAACGCTCACCCAGAGGCTTTCGCGGGCAGCTCCGAAGCTTCCAGCTTTCTGTACGAAGGACTCGCTCAGCTCATGCGGCCTGATGCCGCGCCGACGACTCAGCCACTTATGACAATCAGTCAGATGGCAGATGTCACCAACCACACGCGGGTCGTGCCCGTCCCCGTACTGGCCACGGCTGCCGGCGAGTCGGGTGAGCTCCTCCGTCTGTCCAAGATTGAGGAGACAAACTGGCAATGGGGCGAGAACGAGAGCCCAACGCTTCGGATGTTGAGCATCGACCAGCACGACAAGGAAGAATCTGTCTTGTGGTCGAGCGATGGAGCCCCGATTCTGCAGATCAAGCCTGCGCTGAGCTTGGTCCGGTTCGAACCCACGAGGTGGCTGCTGGTGCAGAAGCGGACTTCGACTACCATTCTTCAGCCGGATTACCACAAGATTCCTGTTTCAGAACGCCCGTCGGGGATTGACCAGGCTATCGAGCGCCCATCTCGAATCAACCCGAGACCCGTCCTCACCATCTCCTCGGAGCAGACTGGAGGCTTTGCGCATTCTGATGTGTCTTTCAGCTATGGCTCGCAGAAAAAGCCGCCTCAGCTGGCCATCATAGACGAGTGCGGCTACTACAGTGTCTGGGATGTCAAGGGTCGAGACATGGTGGGATCCAGCGGCTTGCGTCCAAAGCTCCGGCATTGTGGCCACATTCACTTGGGTGTTACGGAGCAGCTCCCCGACGAGGACTCGCCGGCTTTCCGCGCAGAGCCTCATGGCGTGATGTGGATCGGCGCGGCCGGCCCGGGTGTAGATCTTTGGGATGTGCCCGAAGGGCAAGATGTCGATGCAGGAAACGACCTGGCCGCCCTGACGTCGAGGTCCAAAAAACTCGTTATCTGGAACCGCGCAAAATTCGAGATCATTGATATCAAAGACTCGACGTTCCGAAAGAGCTTGGTCATACTCAAGACGGACGAGCCAGACCACATACTAGACGTGAAGCCAAATCCCTTGAACAGGAGTCAGATCTTCATCCTCACGACCTCGGGTTTCTTTTGGATCGAGACGTCGTCTTCAGGGACGACAGCCAACAAGGCAGGCGGACTCTCCATTCTGCAATCCTTTGCACACCTCAGGGGCTCGGATGCGGACGCTCTCAGGCTCACCGTGCATCACGGCGGTTCGGAAGCAGGAAACGAAAAATGCACAGTTTTTATCTACTCTGACAGATCTCCAGAGGTAGATGTTTACTGGTTTTACGCGCCTGAAGACACGGGATTGCCACAGTTTGAGCACCATATCATGAAGCTCACGGGCGACGCGACGAAGCTTCAGACTTTGTGCCCAGTGCCGGCTTTCCTGAGAAACCCCTCCCCTGCAACAGCCAAGGGCCCAGGCTTAGAGTACCTCAACCATGACATCCGATTCCAGCAGCTGTTCGTTCTTGGCAGGGACCTCAGCTTGAGCCAGAGCCTCTTTGCGATCTCGGCCGGCCCTGATCTCGATGTGGTGGCTCCCGATAGCAGTCGCGAGTGGTCAAGAGACGGGCGCCGACAGGCGCATAACAAGAGGCGACGACAGTTCCTGCAGCATTTTGAAGGTACTTTTGTCGTCCCCGATGGCCTGGGTGATATGGATGAGCTGGTGCAGCGCCGCGCCAATCGGTACCAGGAGCTCATGGAGAGTGAGCAGGCAGGAGAGGAAGCACAGCTTAAGCAGCGGTGGCCTAGAGGTCTGAACTTGGACCAGCTCGTATCCCGCGTCAATGTTTCCATCGAGTCGGTCATCATGGCGTCAGAGCAAGCTACCATTGAGGGTCCTCTGTCTGTATTTGAAGCCATACGGGAGGCAGCCGTCAACTGTCTGGAGACTGAGGGCGGGTACATCCCGCTGCACACTTTGTAAGTTTGGATCTTCCCATCATGGCTTTCATGCACTCATTAGTGTTAGGCACGAATACGAAAACACCTTTGAGGCGCCTCCTGTCTCTCATGAGGCGGTAGCAGCGTGGGACTCTCGCTTCCAGGAGATGATGAACGCGCAGACCGAACGTGTCATTGCACAACCTCTCACATCGCAGTTTCTACACGGCTTGGAAACATTGTCACCCCTCGCAGACATCCGCGACCAGCTCGAGGAGATGTGGAGTCCAGCGGGCCTCCCGCCTAGAGCACAGCAATCACGGAATGTCGTGCTAGCAGAGACGGCCGAGGCCATCGCTCGATCCCTCTTCGGTGTGGCCGTACTCGACGCGAACCTCCCGACCAGAGAAGACGAGTCCCCCACCTGGGTTCCCGAACCTCCACCACTACCAGTCCGGCAGCCGAGCCAACGCTCAAGTCAGCGCTTCTCATCGTCACCCGCAAAGCGTAGCCAACTATCGTCAAGCCAGCGACTCTCACTCTCTCCGACCAAACTAAGCCAGCCCCTCAGCCAGAGAATTTCTCTATCGCCAACCAAACGCGTCCAAGCCCTCGGCCACCGCCTATCCTTCTCCCCTTCCAAAGGCGCCCGCTCCCAGCCCTTTGACAACGTTCCCCCCTCATCGTTCCCCTTTCCCTCCTCGAGGCCCCTATTCTCCCAGTCCTCCTCCGCCGCCCCCTCCTCCAGCTTCCCCGACGCCGCCCCATCAACACCAACGACACCCGCACCCACCACAATCGCAACCACGGCTCTCCAGCGCCTAAGCATGCTCGCCGAAGACATCAACACCGCAGACCCCCCCGCCCGCCAACACAAAGTCCTCGCCTACTGGCCCACAGCCCGCGGCGTCAGCACGGAAGGCTACGTCTCCTCCGTCCTCGCCTCCTCCACGAAGCACATGGACGTCCTCAACGAGCGCCGCCACCGCGCCGAATCGCGCCGCCGCAAGCGCAAGTCGCAGTTCCTCGGCGCGTCGTCGCAGCACGGGTGGGGAACGAGCGAGATGGACGACGTGTTCGAGTCATCTGGGCCCGGGTCCGGGCCCGCGACGAAGACGAAGATGCAGGCGGCGACGAACACCGGGTCCGAGTTCGCACCGCTGTTGCCGCCCTCAACGCAGCCTCTTCCCAAGCTTGCGCCGCCCATCATCGGCTCGAGCCAGTTTCCGCCCGTGCCGTCTTCTCAGGCTATCTTCTCGTCGCAGATGCCGCTCGTCATGTCGCAGCCCATGGCTGGGAGGCACGGGATGCGGTCGCCGGGGAAGAAGAAGAAGAGAAAGTCTGGTTTCTAAGGGTACCCGGGATATGGGAACGAAAGTTCCGCCTTGGATCACTGTATTGGAGATTTTCGCCTGTGTCTTTCATAAATGCTACGGTCGTGTCGGAGATATACCATAATCCCCCCCTTTTTGGGGGGGGTGATGATGAGCTGTTCCTCAGCTCGATGCAAATTACTCTCAACAAAACTCACTTAAGCCCTCTCACTTTTCTTTTTCCTCTTCATCTCGCATCCGTGACAAGTCTCTGCATCTCAACCTCCATCATCTTCAAGCAACCCCACTCCCATCTACTCACTGCCGACCTCCAATACCGCTCCCAACATCATTCACCCCCGTCCCCTTGACCTTGTGATCACTAGGGTTCGCCGCCGCCTCGTACAGGATATTCGCCGGCGCCCGCCCCAGCTGCATCCACTCGCCCTTGAACCCCAGATACGACGCCCTCGTCTCGCCCTCGTCGCCGTCGCCAAAGTTGTCCTCGAAGAAGAGCGTCAGGCGCTGGACGCGCCCGAAGAGGCTCCGCTTGACGGGGATCTCTTGGACCTGCGCCGTGCGCGAGAGCTCGAACTCCTGCGCGGGGTGCGCGTCTTCGGCGGAGGCGAAGTCGAGGTCGTCGCGGTTGATGAAGAGTTTGAGGGTGCGCGGGGCGGAGGGGGAGTCGGAGGTGCGGAGGAGGAGGGCGTGGAGTTTTACTTGGCCGGTGAAGCTTGGGTTTGTTAGTGGTGTTCCAGGGCGGGAGGGGGATGAAGAAGTATTTGGTGAAGGGTTTGTATACGTGTGTGTATGTGTACTGAATGAGGTGGATAGAATGAGTGAAATATGAAATGGAAAGCATGACATAGCACAATATCTCATGTTCACGATAGACCCAAGCACATTAAATGAGACAAC